GAAGGTGTTATGTTAAATGCAGGGATGATTAAATAACATTATTGAGAATTGGGTGGGGATTTTGGGGACAGACTGACTCTGGTAAACTGACCCTACAATGTGCTTCACAACCCTGCTGCATACTTTGACCCTGAGGCTTCTAATCTATTCCAGTAATATTTTAGCCTTGCACGAGCCTTTTTAAAAGCATTTTGGTGTTGAATGAGGTCATTTGTACTGTATTTAGTAAATGCCACAGGAAAAAACACTTAATGGGGACAGGGGGTGGAAGGTGGACAAATCTTTTTATTTTGCATTCAGTGATATCTTTATTTTCTGCATCTTTCCTTTTCCCCTATTTTCTCCTTTTTGTCTCTCTCTCCTCTGCCTTTGATAGTGTAGATCTTCTGGGGTAGAAAGAGGACAGTTCGAGAGGGAGGGAAAGAAACTAACCAGCTGGAATTCAGTCTGCAGTTTACAGATGAGTTGTTCTATCAACTAATTTGAGACCTAAAATTATTTTGACATGAGCACTCTAATTTTCAGTGAATGCATCGTTTGTATTTTAGTAACCAATTAAAACCGAGAAAATGGAAGGGGCTGGTGCAGCGAAGAGGCTTTTAGTTGTGATTTTCTTATAGTGATAGTGCTCGGTGGAAGTGGAGGGCTTCACACTAAATACCAGGGGAGTATTTTTAGGGGGGGGGGGCGCCAGTTCAGAGATCTCTTGTGTGATGGCAATTTACATGTGTTACAGATTCCATTGATTTTTTTTAATATATGTTAAACACCACATGTTGCCTTCAGATTCTGTTTTGAGGGTGTTTGGTGTTCGCACGTCTCTGACTGTTTGTCTTTTGTTCTGCCCCTCTGTTGGGCCTTCCAACACCACACCTGTTTTGATGATAATCTCATGGTCCTAAGGAATCTCTGAAATGAGCTACAAGGAAAATGGGTGGGGTATGTGATGCCTCTGGAAATGGTATTTGCCTCTGGCTGGAGCCTTATTCCTGTGGAGTGTTTGGGGGAGGGGATGGGTTTCCTGTTGCTGGTCTCACGCTACTTTAAACAGTGCCATGTGGTGTCTGGCTGACCAGTACTTCTGCTGTGGTCCTACCCATATGATTTGTTTGTTGGGATTACTCCCCCCTCCTTCAGTTCATTGCTCAATTTGTGCGGACTTGAGAAACGCCTCGTTATCACAGCGGATGTACAAGGAATGTGCCCGTTGCCTGGAGCTTGTGCCAAGTCTTCCATTCATAAACGTCCTCCCGACGTGAAAGGCGCTATACGAATGTAATTGTTGTTGTTGTTTGACCTTATTTACTTGAGTTAGAGCTTCTCAGGTTTCCAGCACTCACATTATACTGGAGAGGTTCCTATGTTTATCCGACCTGTTGCTTGAGGCATTATTAACACTTTCTCCTCTCTCCCCACTCCCATGCTGAAATTCGTATCTTTGATCTAATTTACTTTCTTGTACCTCACATATATGGGATAAGATCAGTAATAAATAGCCCAAGCAGGTTATGGGAGATGAGGCTATCTTTGTACAAATCCTTCACGCGATCTCATAGATGATTTTTTCATTTGATAAAACACCTTCCAGGTCTTGAGGACATTTTGTAGCACTTCACAGGATTTACTGTAAAGTGTAGTGACTACATTTTAGCCAATTTGCACACAACCATGAGGTGGAAGGGAAATGGAAAAAAGGAAGGGAATCGGGATTAAGCAATCTGTATTGATTTGAAACTAGGAGAGCCGGGTGGATCGGGGGACGTGGAGCAGGCCGGACCCGGCTGAATGGAGGGAGCGGGCAGGTTGGTAGGGGGTTAGGAGGTCACAGAGATCGGGTGGGACAAGGCCATTAAGGGCTTTGTAGGTGAGGGCCAGGATTTTGAACTGGATCCTCTGAAGGATAGGGAGCCAATGGAGTCGGGTGAGAATGGGGGAGGACGGGGTCACGGAGTTTGGTGCGGGAGAGGACACGTTACAGAGGTGAGGGAAGGCAGAGCAGGTCATGGCTTGGATGTGGGGAAGAAAAGACAGTTGAGGATCGAACAAGACACTGGGTTCCTGACTGGCTTGGTGAGTTGTAGTGTGCAACCATGAGGTTGATGCTGCCAGAGCCTGAGGTGCTAAGGTTGTGGCGTGAGCCCATAAGGAGGGCCTCAGTCTTGTTGACATTCAACTGTTGGAAGTTTGCCCTCATCCAAGAATTGATGTCCGACAGGCAGTCTGTCAGGACAGCAGTGGTCCTGGAGTTGAGGTTGGAGGCAGAAAGATAGAATTGAGTGTCATCCGCATACATGTGGAAGTTGACCCCATGTCTGCAGATGATGTCACCAAGGGGGAGCATGTAGATATTATAGAGAAGAGGGCCAAACATAGAGCCCTGGGGGACGCCAGACTTGACAGTGCGGGGGCTGGAGGAGAAACTGTTAGAGGCAACAAAGTGGAGACGGTGAGAGGGATAGGAATCGAACCAGGCAAGGGCAGGTCTGCGACGGTTAAGTAAGGAGAGGCGGTGCATGAGGTTGGAGTGGTCGACAGTGTCGAAGGCAGCAGAGATGTCGAGGAGGACAAGGAGGCAGAGGGAGCGCTGATCACAGATGTTCAGAATGTCATCAGTGACTTTGACCAGGGCTATTTCCGTGCTGTGGGCAGCGCGGAAGCCGGATTGGAAGCCTCCCTGATTTCTATCTCTTTGGGTTTACTCTGGGTAGTTAATGAACCAAACCAACAGCGGAATAGCTTGATATTGAAGTTACTACAGACTGCAAATATTATAATCTTGTTGAAATCCACGACCTCTAGAAACCTGATTCTGTCCAATACTGTTTCTCAAAGGGCATTGTGTTGTACAAGGATGTGTTTCACAATGAAGGAAGTGATTATTGAAACAATGTAGTTTGCTTGGATGCCAAATGGGCATTAATCCTGGTCCAAAGCCCGTATTCAAAGACCTCTCTCACCAGCTCGGTGTCAAGCTTTGCCTGATGCTACCCCACGCCAAGGATTTTATAAATATAAATGCAACTTGTTGTTAGATTTTTAGCACTGTACAGGGTGGTATCTTTGAAAGCTTGGATGGGCATCTTACAGTGTTAAGCTCTGAGGATGGGATTGCTGGGAGTGGGCAAGTTCTAGACTGGAATTTGAATCCTACAACGTGATCAAAAGCACTTGCTAACATCCTACCATGTAATTAAACCACTCCATTACCTATGTGAAACCACCATTGATTTGACTGTGGGCTTATCGAGCAGTCTCTCTCGTCTAGATTTCTGTAACTTGCAGATAACAGCTGCTTTGTGCTGACTGGTGGTTGACTAAGGCATTTAAGGTCATCGAAAGGATTTGATGAGGTGGATGTTGATGGGCTGTTTTCACTTTTTGGTGAGTCTGCAAGTCGAGGGCATGCATATAAGATAGTCAGTGATAGATCTATTAGGGAGTTCAGGAGGAATGACTGGGTGGTGGGATTGTGGAACTCCCTGCTGAACACTGGTTGAAGCAAATAGCCTCAGATATTGCAAATAGAATTGAAGAGAACTTGGTAAAGACATGAGGGAGAACGGTATAGGAAAGCGGAGTGAGAGGAGCGGAGGTTTGTGTGGAGTATAAACGCTAGTTGGGCTGAATAGTTGGTTTCTGTGCTGTATCACTCACTGTGTCTCACTTGGAGTAAGTTTGTTTCTCGACTCTCTACCCCCTCCTCGTTCCCTCCTCTCTCCTCACCCTGACCATTTCCCACCTGCTCGGGTCCTGACCCAACTGTCCAGCACCTTTGGACGTCCTCCCGATGTGAAAGGCGCTCTATAAATGAAATGTTGTTGTTCTATGCTTTTGCATTCTCTACCTCTTCTCTCCGACTGAGTTTCTTTGAACTCCTTTTCTCTTCTCTCCATTCACACACGACTGGATTAGTTTTCCTGGCACCCAATTGCCTCCTATTGCCTTATCCTCATATCTGTGAGGGGGAGAGAGTGGGTGATTGTGGTGGGGCATCATTTATAAAGGAAAGCCTGTCCTCGCCCATGTCCGCCTGTTTGCTGATGTAAACCAACACTTTAAAGCATTTTGTCAGTTCGTCCTCTAATATGCTTGTGCAATACACTCATGTCTGCTTCTGTTTCATGCCTGAACATTGTCAGCACTGAATTCCTTCAACAGGAATTTATCGCTTGCACCTTGAGGTGCAAGGAAACACTGAACAGCTCTCATTGAATGGGAATGGGAGGACCCAACACACTGATTGGAAGAAGTTGTGCTACTGGGGGAAGCTGGGATAGGACAGGTTCTGAATCCGAGCAGCCATTATTTTGTCTGCACCTGAATCTCTTTAGCGTGCTTTGCATTGTTGTACATGGCTTGTGTACTTAAGTTTTTAGCCTAGTCAAGTGCTCAAGGTTAATACCAAGCTTTGCCCTACACTCTGAGAGAATCAGAAAGGTTGCTTGCGGTTGCTGGCAGCTCGTTTTTTTAAAAAAAAGTCTAGACGTGTAACGTTAGTGGAACTAGAAAGGTTTTTTTAAAAAGCTTTTAGAACAAAATTCATTTTGCGCAATGTAANTTTTTTTTCAAAAATGGGAAGTGTGTCACTTGGTAAGCAAGTTTCCCTTTTGGGATCAGAAAATTCTGGGTTTCAAGACCCAGGTTGAAACGTCATGGTTAGTGTAGGCTGACAGTCCAGTGCAGTGCTGGGGGGAAGCTGCATTGCTGAAGGTGCCGTCCTTCGACAGAAATGAGCAAAGCCGATGTTCAATCTGCCAGTTTGTCGGACAGGTGTTAGCCTGCGGCCCTCTTCAAATAAAGAAGAAAGAGATTACGGGGAGACAGAGAAGTTTTTTTTGTTGGGAAGTACCTCTTTATTAATACCCTTGACATTAACAACAGCAGCCGACAGGATGTCAGTGCTGACCTACTGTGTTGGTGGCAGGGCAGGTTGTGTTACCGCTCAGGTGCAATTGGCCACCTTGTGACTCTCCACCATTGATTTGCTCTCTCTTGTCCAGGCGGAAGCGGATGTGGCCTCCCTGAACAGACGTATCCAGCTGGTTGAGGAGGAGTTGGATCGCGCCCAGGAGCGCCTGGCCACCGCCCTGCAGAAGATGGAGGAGGCTGAGAAGCAAGCGGATGAGAGTGAACGGTACGACCATGCTGGCAGCCATTGTGACTTGCACTTAGCTGACTCACTTAAGCCTCCTGTGGGAGTGGGGATAAGCAGAGAGAGAGAGGAGGGAAGCAAATAGCTAGTTCTGAGCAAAAGAAAAACAATGACCTTAGTGTGAACTTTTATTTTTTTTTCCGCTGAGTTAATTGACGGAACCAGAAGCTTTAGAAAGTCTTTAAACTTATTTTTAGCCTTACTATTTATATCCCGCCCTCTTCTTCCTACACAACATCTACAGGATTCAATTTTATGCTGTTGGGTTCCAGTGGGTGGCCCCTTCCTTCTCTTCTCCCCCACCCCAATCTCACTCTGAGCCAGTCTGGCGCGGGCAGATTGAGCGAATAAATAAGGTGTTCTGATTCCCGCGCTCATCAAAGATGAATCAAAATGGAGACCTTGTTCTTCAGACCCAGCAATCTGTGGCTACTTGAGGCTACGATCGCACAAGTGCCTATTGATGGGGCAGTATTAATGGCTGTCCCTTTCCCAGTACTGTGTGTATACGAGTGAAAGGCTCTCTGTGTCCATTTTGCAGTTGTGCCTCCGGTTGTTGGTCTCTCAGACACAATTTGTTAAATTGCTGCCGTGAGCCCAGTTCTGTCTCTGGGTTGGCCGGGTGGGGGGGGGAGTAGTGCTTCAGGAACCTGCTTTAATGGTCCCATATGTGTCAAGTTATCTGAGACACTACCCTGCACGAGAGGCGCTATGTAAATGCAAGTTTAGTTGTTGATGGACATGGCTTTCCTTCTGCAGAGGAATAAAGGTTATTGAAAGCCGATCCCGCAGCGATGAAGAGAAGATGGAATTACAAGAGCTGCAACTGAAGGAGGCCAAACACATCGCTGAGGAAGCAGACCGCAAATATGAAGAGGTGACCTGCCTACTTACAGCCGCACCGACCGCTCTAATTTCACGTCGGGTGCCACGTTATTCATTACTGTGCATGCTGCGTTGGTGCTTGTATCAGTAATATTTAATATTTAACTTCGATGCTCTGCCACTGTCCAGTGCTCTGGGACGCTACCTTGTGTAAATGTAAGTTGTTGTTGTCGAACATGTGGTTTAAAGTTACGCCTGGTTGCTCTCTTACAGGTAGCGCGTAAGCTGGTCATTCTGGAAGCTGATCTGGAGCGAGCTGAGGATCGTGCAGAGGTGTCAGAAGTGTAAGTTTTTGTCGTTTTGTTTTTCTGAGAAACTTTTCACCCTGCAGGAGGCCATTAAGCCCGTTTGTGTCTATGCCACATCTGTCAGTGTTTATTATTAATGCAATAATCTTGTTCTTTGTAATTAAAAGGTAATCCATTTTCCACCTTTTTGTTCCTCCACCATATCCCTGAACGCCCCTTCTCCCTTGCTCGGCATCCAACCCTGCTGCTATGTAGCGCTCAGACTCTATTCTACATGGAGGATGCTATATAAATGCAAGTTGCACAGTATTTACTGCTCAATGTGTCTGCATTCCCATTTTGAATGATTTTAATGATCCCACTCCAATACACTCTTGTGCTTGTGAGGAATTCCATACCCAAGTGATATTCCTACAAACCTTTTTTTCTTGCTAACAATCTGATGCTATGTCCCCATGTCACTTGACTCTTCCCCACCTCTTCACTATTTTATGGTAACTGTTGCTGGACACGGCCACAGGAATCTGTCAACTCTGAGCCCCTCTCAATACACAGCAGGGATGTGATGAACAAGACATTAAAAAGAATAAAATCTTACCTGCCTGTTTGCCTGTTGTTGGCTGCTGCATTTGACTGCAGTGTTTGCCTACACATTAACCACAGTTACAGCACTTGACGGATTGCATGTGAAGCACTTTGAGGTATAACAATGTGATGGTGTTTCAATGTGATAAAAGGTACTGTAAAATGATGTGCTAAATTATGTGGCTTACAACTGGTCAACTTTGCCCAGGTGCAGGGGCAGGCTTCTTGCAAGGGCAGTCTGATGGGAGAGGGCTGCAATTTCAGGTGGCTCTCACCTTGACATTGCCTTTCCTTTCTGCCTTTCTCTTTCCCTTCCTCCCCCCCATGCCCCACCCCCATGCCCATTTTTTTTAATTACTAACTTTTGTAATGGTTTATTTATTATTAACTTCCCCTTCCCCCAGTTCCTCTGCCCAAGACTGCCAAGAAACTGTAATAGTGTTTTTGAATTGATGAGAGTAAAAAGTCTTAAAATGTTTTAATTTTGTTGATTTATTTACCATTTGCGGCATTGCCAGCATTATTCTTTCTAACCTGAGATTGTTCAATGCGTACGTAACCTATATTGGATTAAGCACAGGCTGGAGTGTGATGCAAAAGAGCAATGCTTCAGAGTCGAGCAGATGGGTTAAACCAGTTGAACTTTGTTTATGTGGTTTCTCGCATCATCTGCAGTCTGTTTTTAGTTGTGACCTTGAAGCATGCTCCCAGTCAGTCACTGATCTGTGTAAAATATAAGCAGCCAGTGCTTGTGGGAGCGAAACCCATTCAACCACCGGTTTTATGCCTTTCCTGTTGGGTTACAGTGAGCTCCTGTGATTGAACAATGCCAGCCCAAATGACGTGGCGATACACCACATTGGAGCTGAGCTGATCGATTTGAACGCATGTTGCAGGGAAATGGATATGCCTCGCATACATATGACTGTTCTGCATGTATGGTTTATGAGACTGTTGGGAGTGTTAATCTAACACTCCTGGACAGGGATTGAAATCGTTCTTACACCAAACCTGAGACACAATATTCTGCACAGTCCAAGTTTTTTTTATTGGGTTCAAAGTCTATTTCATCTCATTGTTTGAACAGTATTTACAATAGCCTCTGATTGTAGCAACTGCAGCATAGAGGCTGTTCAACTGCTTTTACTATCTTTTTCTTTTTTTAAAAAAAGCTTGCTGCATAAAATTCTGGTCAAAAGTCACCAGTTTTTAGTCCAATTTGTATCTAGCCATGAACTGCTTTTGCGTGCTTTTTAAAAAAGCTAGCAATCCAATCCTTTATTCAAGGTATTTTAAAAGATTGTTTTTCCTCAAAGCTGCCAATAAAGGAGCAGAACTTTTTTTTTAACAATCTGGACAAGATCATGTCCCTTATTTCTATGTGGGTTACTTTAACCTTCAGGGTCCAACCTTTTGGCTGCTGAGAGTCAGATACCGTATTTGAGAAATATCTGTGGGCTGCATAAGCAATATTTTTGTGTTTCCCTTCCAAAAACATAACCTTTACAGGTTATGGAGGGAACGGACAGGTCAGATGAAATGAAGGAGGTAGGGTGGGTGGTAGATGAAATAGAATTGAACAATGAACTTGTGCGGATTGCAGAGACCCTGTGTATATTTTGTACACAAGTCTGGATCTGGTTTAGGGTAAAACCTTTCAATTCTCTTGACTTAATTCTGTGCACAAATACCATTTGGTGAATACACTAACGATAGTGGGCACATGGTTTTTCTTTCCCCTTTTTGAATTGCATGCTGAATACTCCTTGGGATTTGTATCTGTTCTACTCCCTTACTGTGGACTAACTCAGTCGGGCACGACAATTGGAAGAGGAGCTTAGAATAATGGACCAGACCTTGAAATCGCTAATGGCCTCAGAGGAAGAGGTACTGCTCCTCAGCAATCCACTAACTACTTCCTGTTTCCTCTATCCATTACCTTTTGTTTCCCTGTGGTTTTTTTGAGAAAAATACAAAGCTAATTCCCTTGCAACTTTACTGCTGCCGCTGCTTTTTGCTTTGCTTCTAGTTTTGTGTGTTGTTTTTCCTCCAATGGAGACCCATAGCAGCTGAATCCTGAGGTAGAAGAGCATGACTTCAATGCTTGAGGTAGGCTTGGACCTACTAGTTCCTTTTTGTAAGGAGATGGTGGCTTCTCCATTGCTTGAAATGCACTAATTGAGCAAATGTTTTCAGTGTAGCAATTGATCTATGATTCAAACTTGAGTTAACCGAGTATTTGTCCAGATTTTGCAAGGAAGACCAGGTAAGTGGACCACCCAATGTTCTAGAAACATCCTTGTTTAGGCGAGAAACTGCCTTAATGCCTAAACAGTGGAGCCACATTGGGCCTAAATTCTGAGAGAGGTAGGCCTGCTAGGTTGCTATGGGTTTCTACTATCTAATCACTTTCTACATATTCTCAACCTCCTTCTTTCCCACCCCCAAACTGTCTTCTGTACAGTAAGTGCGCTGACTTTGAGGAAGAATTGAAAAATGTCACCAACAACCTGAAGTCTTTGGAAGCCCAGGCTGAAAAGGTAGGAGCGCTTCCACTCTGTACACAACCGCTCTCTAAAAGCTATGGTATCCTGAGGAGGCCCTTCACCAAACCAAGTCAAGTCTATAAATCAATACTGAGCATGGACTTTTGCTTTTGTCCATCAGAAATCTTTCTCTCTATCATGTTGCAATGAGTTCAGCTCCGAAGGCTGTAAGTTTATTTAAAAAAAAAAATCCATTTGGTGACTTGACTCAATGGGCTGAGTTTGAATATAGGGATACCTTTGCTTTATTTGCCTGCAGAGCTAATATAGACCACTCACCTTGCTAAAATGTTAATTTCCCATCTTCCACTTTTTTGTTATACTGTACATTGTGTTGCAATGAACCGATGTCTTGTCTTTTTAAAAGAAACTGTTTAAATTTTTTATATTGTAAAATGTGGAACATTTGTTTTATCTCTTGACATTCTGAGATGTTTTAAACATCACCTGGTTCTGCTGTTTTAAAAACATTGATCCAGATCCGTGTGAGACCCCTTATTTTTTTGAGGGGTCTTTTCTTTTGCTGAAGTTTTTCAAAGTGAATTGCATCCCATCGAACACATTTTCTATTCTTAACTTTTTTAAAAAAAAACTTTCTTTGCTGCAGTGAATTTTCTTTTCTAAACAGAAAGTTTTAAAGCAAACTTTGCTTGAAAACTTTCCATTGATTATTGTAGCAGCTTGTTTTGTCTTCAGCCCACCCTATCATGTCTGTCTGAGCCATGGAATGTGTTACCAAATCTATAATAATAAATAATAATAATCCTTGTATTTGATATAACGCTTTTCATGTCAGGAGGACATCCCAAAGCGCTTCACAGAACACACTGTAAAGTGAATTGACTGTATATTTGTGGGCAAACGCGGCAGCCAATTGCGCACAGCAATGTCCCACAAACAGTCGTAGATTAAAAATGACCAATTTATTATTGTTTTTGGTTTTGGAGGGATTATTATTAGGCTCTGTGTGGAGTAAGGAAACTTGCCCAAGGTTTCGCCCTGCCTGGAATTGAACTTAGGTCTCTCACTTGCAAAGCGAGTGCTCTAACCACTGAGCTACAGGACTCCACAAATCTGGCAATTTGTTGGGATTATCTATTTTTTTTGGGGGGTGGAAGAGTTTTTTTTCACTTTATGATCATCTTCCCCCCCCACCACCTCCACCCTTTACCTACATGTTCACCTTTCACCTCTAGCCCTCACAGCCTCCTGCAGGCTGACAATGTCCCACTAATCCGCCGCCTCTCGTCTTAACGTGCGCATCTTGGCTGCCGCCCTTGACCCAAGCTGGCCCTCCCTCAAAATGCCCCCCTCCCTGCAATTCTCCCGCTCTGTCCTCTCTCTCCGCCCTCCCCGTAGCCTATCTCTGCAATGCTGGCTCATTCCTCTCTTTTGAACACCTTACCCTCTGCCATCCCTCCCATCTCTCACTAAAAATTCTCCTAATTTACCGCCCCCCAAAATTTTCCCCCACCTTCATCTCTGACATCTCCACCTTTCTAGCTTCCCTCTGCCTCTGCTCCAACCGCCTCATCATCCTAGGCAACTTCAACCTCCACTTCACTCCCTCTTGCTCCACTTCCTCAGACTTCTCCTCTCTCCTCCTCCCTCAACCTCTCCCTCCACAATCACTCTGCTACCCAGGTTCACGGGGGCCTCAGTGTCTCGGATGTCACCATCACTGGACAAGGCCACCTCTGACCACCATTTCATCTCCCTCAACTCCTATATCCATCTCCTCACTGCCTCCAAACCTACCACCATCTTCTACCACCCGTGGAAGAAGATCTCCCAGCAATCCCTCTCCGCTGCCCTGGAGTCCTCTGAACTCCTCCCCGTCTGGCCCACCTCCTGCACCAAGCCATCCTCTGTGTTTACTCTCCTCCACAGCACCCTCTCCACCACGCTCAATGCCCTTGCCGCCCTCACCTCCCGAAATGCCTCCTATTCAGGATCCTCACCCTGGTTCACCAGCCACCTCTGCTTGCTCAAGGGCCAGGTGTGGGCTGTTAAATGCACTTGGCTCAAATCCGGCCTAACGGTCCGGCTGGACCTCATCAAAACCTACCGCTCCGCTCTCGTCTCGGCCAAATCGTCCTTCTACTCCAGGTTAATCCTGAAGGTGAAGGGCAACGCCAGACTCCTGTTCTCCCCCACCAACCGGCTCCTCCAGCCCTCCCCGCCGCACCTTGCAGATTCTTTCCTCTGTCTCCCACTGTGAGGAAATGCTGGACTTCCTCGAATCCAAAATCGAGAGAATCCTCTCAGCTGCCACTGCCCTCCAAACTTCTACTCCCTCCCAGCCCCACCCACTCTCTGACCACAACCCATCCTTCCTTCCACACCTGTGAACCTGCCACCCCCTCCTTTGTCATCACCACCATATCCTCCATGAAGCTCACCACCTGCTCCCTGGACCCTGTCCCCACCCCTCTCCTTAAATCCCAGCTCCATCTCCTTGCTCCACTACTCGCCGACATCATCAACCTTTCCCGATCATCTGGCACTGTTCCTACCCTTTTCAAAACAGCCATTATCTCCCCCCACCCCCCCCCCTCTTGAAGAAACCTTCCCTTGATCCAACACAGCTATCCAGCTACCGGCCCATCTCCAACTCCCTTTTCTGTCCAAGGTCCTTGAGAGAGCCATTGCCTCCCAGCTTCACTCTTTCCTCTCCTCTCACTCCCTCCATGAGCCCCTCCAATCAGGTTTCCGTGCTGCCCATAGCACGAAAACTGCTCTGGTCAAGGTCACAAATGACATCCTGACCATGTGTATCCAGGGCTCCCTCTGCCTCCTCGTCCTCCTCAACCTCTCTGCCGCCTTTGATACTGTGGACCACTCAATCCTCCTCCACCGCCTCCTCCCACCGCAACTTTCAAGGTTCTGTCCTTGACTGGTTCAGGTTCTACCTTTCACACCGCCTCCACTTTGTCGCGGCAAACAGCTTCTCCTCCAACCCCCACACCATCTTGTGCGGTGTTCCTCAGGGCTCAGTCCTCGGTCCCCTCCTTTTCACCCTCTACGTGCTCCCCCTTGGTGACATCATCCGCAGACATGGGATAAATTTTACATGTATGCGGATGACACCCACCTCTACCTTTCTGCCTCCACCCTCAACTCCAGGACTACTGGCGTCCTGGCCGACTGCCTGTCCGACATCAAGTCCTGGGCGAGGGCCAACTTTCTCAAACTCAATATCAGCAAGACCGAGGCCCTCCTGATTGGCTCGGGCGAGTGCCTTTGCACCTCAGGCGCTGGCAGCATCAGCCTCCACGGCTGCACACTCAACCTCACTAAGCCAGTCAGGAACCTGGGTATCTTGTTTGACCCTGAACTGTCCGCAACATTGCCAGACTCTGCCACTGCCTCACCCCTCAGGCTGCCGAAACCCTCACCCACGCATTCATCGCATCAAGGCTCGATTATGGAAACTCCCTCCTCATCAACTTTCCCAACTCTTCCCTTCACAAGCTGCAGATCATCCAAAACTCTGCAGCTCGTGTACTCTTACGCACCAGGCTCCGCGACCCCATCACTCCCACCCTCACCCGACTCCATTGGCTCCCTATCCTCCAGAGGATCGAGTTCAAGATCCTTGTCCTCACTTTCAAGGACATCCATGGCCTTGCCCCCTCCTACCTTTCTGATCTGCTGACTCCCTACCAACCTGCCTGCTCCCTCCGTTCAGCGAGCTCTGGCCTGCTCCATGTCTCCCGCCCTACCATCGGTGGCTGTTCTTTCAACCTGTCTGCCCCCACACTCTGGAGCTCCATCTCACAGTCTGTTCACCTCGCTTCCTCCCTTGCCTCCTTCAAGGCTGGTCTCAAGACCCTCCTCTTCGATCGTGCCTTCGGTCTCCCTCCCACCTCTCTGCCTTCCCTCACCCCTATTCCACCCCTCCCCCATGCTCGGGTCCTGACCCCTGACTGTCTAGTGCCTTGGGGTGTCCTCCCGAAGTGAAAGGCACTCTATAAATTTAATTTTGTTGTTGTTATGGATTCACTTTGAAAGGCAGCTTGATGACTGGAAAGAGAGTGTGTGTTTGTGGATGGGGGGGATGGTGTGTGGGGGTTGCATTGTCTAAGCAGGACTGGTTCAGCATTTCTTTCTTTATCTCCCCACCCCCACTATTACCAGAGAGTCCAGCGTTAATGTCTCTTTGGGATGTTATTTTTTCCAATTGAATTTGGCCCATGTTCGGCAGGATTCAGAAAGCATTAGCTGCTGAACGATCCTCTGCTGTTTTGTTTTCTTAATCTCTAAATCATCTGTACTTTTGTTGAGCGTTTTGATCCTAATTCCTAACCAACATTGCTGGTTTCTCTCACTGGCAGTACTCTGTAAAAGAAGACAAATATGAAGAAGAAATCAAGCTGTTAGCAGAAAAACTAAAAGAGGTGAGAGACTGGAATTGTTGGCACTAACAAGATTTATCCCAGAACTAATGCTGGGATGGGGCTGTTTAAGCATTGGAAGATCACTCAAAACAAGTATTATACGAGCCTGTTGAATTTAATGGTGTTTCTTATTGTTAGTCTTCGTTAGCATAGTTTCACCTGATGTGCCTACTGAATGAAGTATGTGGGTCACAGCGAGATGTTTGGGAGGGGAAGGAAAATGAAATCACCTGCAACAACATAAATGTTTTCAGTATGTTTGACTCTGGTAGTTCAAACAAAATCCTATTATAAGCTTGACTGTTCTGACCAGGTGTTCGCTGGGGGCTGTGGTTACCAAGGGAGCATTGAGCTCAATTTGTGCAGTGCGAAATCGGGGAAAATCTCCCTGGTCAATGAGTGAAATGAAATTTGATCCAAGGTAATAAATCCTTTTAATGACCTGCTCGTTTACAGGCTGAAACCAGAGCTGAGTTTGCTGAAAGATCTGTAGCGAAACTGGAGAAGACGATTGATGATTTGGAAGGTAATATTTCATATTTACACGTTCTCCGAGATGTTCTTGTTTGTCTACAGAGTGTGCTTCTGATATTCCTTCCTGATAGGTTCAGGAGCAGGGTCAGTTTGAGGTTTAATGAATTACTATGTTGCTTGAGGAGGGCGGGTGAGCGATGTGAGCGGGGTCACTTTGGAATGTAGTTGGGTTCAAAGTGACATATCTGGCAATGGAATGTCAGAATCAAGTCTCCCCTCTGTGGTGGTCTTGTAGTCCAGGCAGATTTACATTGCTCCAAGCCACTGTTGACAATAGGCCAGCCAGCCTGACTCATCAGCAGGACTTGTAAGGATAGATTACTTTCAGGGGGAATGATGATTTTTCCCGCCCTGATCCTGTTGTCCTGCAAGCCAAAGCCTTAAGGGTGGTCTTAGCTGGAAAAGCAGTGGGAAGCTTGCCAGTCATTGTTTGCAATGACTGTATGAACTGTACTGGTTAAAACGCCAGCAGCATCCCCAATGCTAAAAGGAGGAAAATATTCTGAACTGGAAGATAGTTTTCACTAGTCGTTTGCTGGTACGATGTCTGCATTGCGACTTGAGAATTGTACTTTCAAATTGAAGGTATTGTCATATTCCAGACTTTCAAAGGATGCTTCTGATGTTTTGGGAATGTGCAAAGCCTCTTGATGTCATCAGAATAATATAGAGATTTGTTTTTGTATTTCCTGATGCCCAAATAACTGTAGTGGAGTCTGGAATGTGTGCCTGCACTTTATCTCCTAGCCTTCATCACAATTCCTGCTTATGTTATCTGGGCAATGAGAAATCACTAAAATATATGTCCAGTGACATTGCCAGGTGTGGCTTTTATCATTCCAGAACTGTATCTCTAGGTTTCAGTAATTTGACACAGGGATAAACAGTATTACAAGTTGCATTGAATCCAAGCTTATGATAGGGAATTAATGCCCAATGTGTAAGGAAATAGTGATATATATTTAGGTGCTGGTAATTTTTCCCTTCCCTCACCCAGCTTTCAAAACAGTGATTTTTTTTTAACGAAACACTTGAAGCATTGTACTTTGGAACAATGAATTATAAATACTGACTATAAATAGATTAAAGCCTTCTGTGACTTTGCACTATAGCAGATTTCTAGACTGTCGTAACATGACAATAAATGCTTTTTGAGCTACATCCTCTTTGATTTGTATAAAGCCTAATGGCATTTCGCGGAAAAAGTGTAGATTGCATGGATCCCGCTTTAAGTCATTGGGTTGTATAGTTTTGCTTGATTATGAATTTTATTTCACCATTATAAAAATGTGTTGCTATCTTGCTATTTGGAGTCTTGCAATCTTGCTTAGATGGGTATACTGTTCATTGGCCAGTACAGTAACCAAGAAAAACTGACCCGAGGCTCAGCAGCAATGCATAATCCTGGGAGGTAATTGTGTTTATGAAAGGAATCTTCCAGCTAAGTGAATCCAATTTGCATTTTAAATAAACACTTGAGTTGACTCAGTTCACCACCCAATGCAAAACAGAGCCAAAAAGACTGGGAAAGTTTGCCATCCTTTCAGTGCAGTGAGTCAGCTAATTGCTTCTGGGGTATTCTACAAATGACCTTAGCGCTGGGTGTGGGCTTGGGGGTTCCTATAGATGAGTCAGTGCTTTTGTGGGGGGGAGAGAGATTCAAATGTCTGTTGACCGGAGGGGTTGGAGGTGAGTGATCTGAGTGGGGGGGTGGAAATAATCTAATAAGTTAGCAAGCCAGTGTTAGAGACCAGAAAAACTACTACACTTAGTCAACAGGTGACACCAGGCTATACTGGAGAGGTGGGAGAATCATAATGGGGTTGTATTATACAGGGTGACCAAATATTGTAATATCTACCCTTTTATCTTAAAGAAACAAATAATAAATAATAATAATAATACTTGCATTTTGATATAGCGCTGGACCTAAATCAGCAGCTAGCTATTGTTGATTTAATAGACGATGAAAGTTGTTAAGTTGCATGTTGGTGTTTGAGATGCTTGCTTTGAAGTGCTTGCCCTGAGTCATGGGTAGGAGCATGTCCAGCACTAACTGAAGCTTCAGATCACCTTTGTAGCTTGAATTGTTTGACTGTGCATCAGAACCTCTCGTGTGTCTCTGTCATTTGAGATTGCCTGCAGCCTGCAAGCTAACTTTGTAGAATATTTTGGTTACCTGGCTAACTTGCTTGCCGTGTATATTAAGATGATGTTTGTTTTTGTTGGGTTACTACGGAGGCTTTCAACAACATTAACGAGACTGTGTCCATGCCTTTAAAAGCGGATATTTTGCCTCTGCTGGTAGTAACCTAATTTTGCTATGCTGTAGTATTTGGCCCTTTACATGCCTTTGGCTCTTTTGAGACGTTGCATTGATGTGAAAAGCACTACATAAATGTATTGCATTACCTGCATAGGTGGCTCTTGTGGCCCCATTTCTCTTGCTGCTCTGTTTTGAAGTGCTTGCGGGTTTAAGTGTTCTAATAATGCATAGGTATCTGCTTTGTTCATTGGGAGTTAGCAATGCAGTGTAAATAGGCACAGCACAGTTTACCAACACAAAGGCAAGCAGTGTTTCAATTGTAGCCTAGTGTTCACCCGAGAGCAGATACAGTTAAGAAATATCAATGGCCCACTAGTCACAACAGACTTTAAACCATGTCCTCCTGACGTGAAAGGCGCTTTATAAATGGAATCTTGTTGTTGTTGTTGTTGTCATCTGATATGCGATTTATTTTAAACTTCTGTCTATTTTCACTAATTTTCTTTTCTCTTTTTCTTTCCTTCCGTACTTCCATCTGTACCACGCCATCCCACGCTCCCACTCTTCTTCCCGTCTTCCATCCTTTTCTGGACTTCCCACATTATTTGGACTTTTTTTTCCCCCCCATCTGCACCTTGGACTCGACTTTCCGTCCGCTCTTTTATCTTGCTGCTCCTTCACCTCTGTACTCTGGCTTTGACCTCCGCTAGATGAAGTGTACACTCAGAAAATGAAGTGCAAGGGAATCTGTGAAGAGCTAGACAATGCCCTCAATGATATCACATCAATGTAAACCACCCTGTATAAGATACAATTCACCAGCGTGCTTAAAGGGCCATCTTTGCCTCCCTCAATCCCCCCCCCCCCCCCTCAGCTTTCTGCATTTCCCTTAGTTATATCTTTGCTCATTTTAAACAATTCAATTATGGCATCGGGCAGAAAGGTCATAATTCCAGGAAATCTGGTTCGAGTACTGCTTCAGGTCTTAAGCTCTCCTTTTTTGTGTATCAATTTGCTGTTTTGTGCTTCAAAGAGTTTGGATGGGGGTTGCGGTGACTTGTTTAAATTAAGCTCTTAATGGCTGACGTTCATTCATTTCTTAAGATTGAATGCTGAATGAACTGTCCTGAGTTCAGCAGTTTGTCCATTTAGCCCCAATCTCCAGAATTATTAAGTTTCTGTAATTTGCAAAAAAAAATTGATCGGGACAATCTCTTCAATATTATGGTTTGGGTTTTTAAAAAAATCTGGAAAAAGGAGGGGAAAGGAAAGCTTGGATCTGTATCAATATTTATAAAATCTGAGGTTGTAATTTCTCTGTCTTTCATCTCTTTCTTCCCTTCCCCACCCCCTCACAGCAAGTTACACAGTGCCATAAGGCTTCAAAAAGGCACTACTTAGGAATTGTTTTACATGTGTAATAAATAGAAAAAGGTGGTTATTAAAGTCAAAACTGTAACTTTCAAAGCTGCAGTTGATTCAAGAAACAATTTTATGCAAGTTGTTTATTTAAAAAAAAGGAAAAACAATTTTGTTTTATTCTTCAACTTTATCAGTAACTTCTGCAAGCTTTGTTTGTTCGTATGTTTTTCTTTCCTTAGCCTTGGAGAAACTTTACACAGAATGATCTCTGACCAGATAGACTTTTCTCTCGCTGATCTCTCCCTTGCTGATTTTAAAGTGGCCAAAGTGCTGTGGTACAATGCGCAGTATTATAATTGGACCTAAATGGTGCTCATACATTCTTGATTCGCCTAATGGTTGTGCGGCAATTGAACAGTATATTTGTGACAGGAGTCCATTCAAATCTCTAACATTATGGTTAATTCATCTTGCTCCACTTCCCATGTCTATTATTATAATAATAATAATAATAATCGTAAAGTCCCGTTGCGTAGTGGTTAGCGCGTTTGCCTCACAAACTGGAGGATCCGGGTTATTATAAATTACCTCCCTCTGTAAGGGCTTTTTGTAGAAGTGGGAGAGCACCTCTACTACGCAACGGGTAAAAGAGGCTTTTTTTAAAAAAAACCTCCACCTCAAGACTTGCAGCAGGCATCAGCACTGATGTACATTGAGTTTGCCAGGCTGATAATACACCCACACGTAACGCTAGTCAGTGGAAAGAATGAAATGTGGGGCATGACAGAATAGTAAATGACTGCATGAACTTTGGTAGAAATCTATGTTACTTTCTGCAGCTTCTTGACTAAAGCAAGCTGGGTCTTATTGCATTAATGCTGCACCTTGTACCATTGCCTTAAAGTCGCCACATGTTTTATGCTTCAGTAGAGTTTGAGTTTAATTTCATTCTGTTCTTTTTGCTGTTTCCATCCTTTGTCTTGTATCTTCATTTATGAAATAAAACTCAGTTCCTCTTTATTTTGCCTCATTTTCTCTCTTTGTTTAAGCTCTTCTTGAATTCATATGGTTTTGCGACACATTTTATTGTTGAATGTTATTTTGCAATGAAAATCTCAACTTTTAAGTTTACTTTGCTTTCCATTAGAGTTGAAGATGCTTTTGCATTCCGTATTAATTACAAAAGATACATTTATGTCAGCATTTCAATTTATGGTTTATCTCAATTCTAGCTGGATAGAATTTGCTTGATGGTTCCACTGGTTGATTTGCTGCTATGGTCCAATTATGGCCATTGTTTGTTGACCATGACAGAATTGTCCAGTCTCAAAAGTGAAGGGGAACAGGTGCACCGGGGTTATGGTAGGATATTTGGCCTGTTTCAATCTTGTGGTGTTGGGCACCTGGTTGCTGAAAGCTGAACAATCTTATCAATTGTGTATCTCAGAACTAGCTTTAAAAAGGCCATGTTTTCAAAACTCCAGCCCAAAGTAGCATTACTGTAATATAGCAAACAGTGTTCTATAACTATTACAAGCTGTCCCATTATAACACATGGAAATAGTCAAAGCTTAAACATACTGCTAGGTAGCGAGGGGGCGGGAGAAACTTGTACAGAATCCCATGTTTTGTTCAATGAGCTGCCCAGGTTTGTAATGGTATACCTGACTTTGTGACGAGTGCTTTTGAAGTCCTGGAAGCTTAATGGGATAAATCTCAGTGGCAGTTCTTCCTTGCAATACTTTACTGGCTATTCTTTAATTACTTGCTATTCTTTAGTTACTCACCTTACTTTAATTAGTGGCTTGGCTTGCTATTCCTGCTCAGTTTGCATAATTGTATTTAAAAAATATTTTAGCTGCCACGCGCAGATTGTTCTCAGTGTTCCTGGGCTGGGCAGCATCGATGGTTGATCCCTGTTTGCAGGAAGTGTAGTGCATTGATGATCTAGTAGAATGGCGAAACAGGCTTGATGGCCTGAATGGCCTATTCCTGTTCCTATATTCCATTTGCTTCACATTTAAGACTATTCCTTGCTTCGTCCGTCATATGTTGCTGGATAGTGATTGGGAGCAAGAACTCTTGACCCATTGTCGTTCATCCACCAGCTCCCATCCCAGGGTACTGAGGCCAATTGTAGATTGGGAACATGTTTAGTTGAAGATTAATGAGTGATTTAGTTAGTAATGGCCAGTTTACTTAGCCTATTGGTTTGTACTGCTGAAAGAGGTGCTATTTCTGAGTGTGGCGAGTTGGATTAACATGAGAGGATGTCGCTGTTTCCATCTGGCAAGTCTATGTCCTGAGTGTGTTTTTCTGTATGAGAATACAGGGGCGGGATAAGACTCTGTGACCTGTGGGCTGAAATTCTGATTGGTGTAGTCATGTTGGCCACCAATTGGATTTCTCTCCTCTCCCTCCACCCCATTCTAATCGTTCATTGCCAAAATTGCAACGTGAAACACCAACATAATTTCAGCCCTCCGTTGAGAAGAATGGTCTGCTTTTGTCATCTGGGTTGGTTGGCTAAATTAAAATTGGTTGGCTGGATTGACTCCTTTCATTATTTATCCTCTTTCTTTCCTCCTCCCCCCACTTCCCCCTCCACCACACACATTAAGACAAGCCTCCGCACTTAACCCTTTGCGATTCAGAAACCGGGCCAGATGCTACTGCACTGCCAGCCGATCTCGAGTGTGGAGTCATGTTAGATTCAAGACTGAAACCTTCTCTGTAATAGAATCGCTCACTTAAAATTCTGCTCTTTGCATCCGAGATGCACTTTCCCTTCTGTGTCTTTTTCTGTACTGCGTATTCCAAGCTGACCTTTTACATATGACTAACACTGCTCTCTCTTCTTTCACTCTGCTGTCACTGATGCTGCTGTGTCTATAGGACGCTTCCATCAGGAGGTGGACCGAAACCGCCTGCTCAATAATGAGCTGAGGGTTGTCCTGAATGAACTTAACAACTGACTTGCTTTACCTTGGACTTTCCAAAGAGCCAACTCTACAGGTCTTGCCTGGCTCTTAATTTCAAGGAATGTTGTTCCGACTTTTCTTCCTTTCCTTTCGAAACTATTCATAGCATTATTTTGCATGTCTAGTTTTGTAAATATTTNAAAAAAAGATAATCTGCAGATATTTAAAGAGTTGCCGACTTAACAGCGGGTTATAATTTTTCATTCTGTCGTTCTGTCTCTTGAGCCAAAGTAAGAATATTCTCACCGAAACAAATGTAGATAAAATGTGGAGTAAATTAAAGTAGCTACTGTTTTGAGGCAGGATCATCTCTGTACCTTCTGTGGGTGTTAAATGTGGTTCTCAAAAAGCTAACAAGTTCTTCTGTTCTGTATTAATTTGGAATTATTGGAAAAGAGAAAGGGTTCCACTAAAATTCTGACACTGCAAAATCTTTATTAAATGAGCTTTTTGATTTTTTAAAAATATAAATATATTTCAAAGCCCAGTGTTATTTTTTTAAAAAATAGCCTCAAAAGCCTGCAGAAGTAAAGTGCAAGCACCTGAGTAATGTGGGTCCCCTGTTGGCAACCAGTAATGGGATGGTGAGCTGACTGTGGAGCTGGGTTGAATCCACACTGTCACCCTGCACTGATATGAGAAACAACCACCAGGTGGGAGATCCAACCAAGTCTGCTGGTTAGCTCTGGCTGGGAATTCAGCTGAAGCTTTTCTGGTTTGTGTGTCTCGGTCAGTGCATTAAGCCGGGAAAGAGAGGGTTGGACAGTAGTTACAAATGGGTACCGGTTCTTGATATCCATTACCTATCAAGTGTTTTACGGCTGTGAGGAGAATGTTGCTGAAACAAAGGTCTTCAAATCCATGCGATCATGATGATAGTTGTAACAGATGTTGACTTATATTCTTTGCCAACAAAGTAAATTTCTTTGGTAACAAAGTAAATGGACAATTGTTACTTAGCAACAAATCGCCTGCTGTTATTTCTTTGTGCAATTTGTGTATATTAACCGTATAGCAGAATGGTGCTTATTACTGTTTTTTGTCTTGTGAACAGCTGAGAAGACTGTTTAAAATGTGACTTTGTTCTTTTTGTTTTTCTCTCCCCCCCCCCCCCCCCCACCCCATTTCTTTCCTTGAAACAATAGAGAAACTGGCCCGAGCTAAAGAAGAAAACTTGAACATTCATGACATGCTTAACCAGACTCTGGCGGAGCTGAACAATTTATAATAATTCTAAACCGGGGGGGTAAAACCAACAGAAAAGCTTTACATGCCACAAGTGCCCATGGTGCTTCAGCGTCTGTGTGTAAGCACTGCAAACCACCGGCCAAAGTGTGACACATTGGGGGGAGAGGGGAGGGAGGGTGGGGATATAGAACACATTAATATAGGCTCATTGTATTGAAACAAGTAAATTTCCAAGGGGGAGGGGAATCTAACCTTAACTTGCAGGGTGGGATCAAGTCTATTTGTTTGGAATATTTTTTCCCCTCGTCTCTGTTCCATTGACTAGCTAGGCTTTTTGACCTTTTACGGCATAGACACGTTAGCTGTTTCTGTTCTGTCTTTTTAGTTTTTTTGCTTTTAATTTTTTTTTGGGGGGGGGGGTGGCCTTCCATTCCTAACAAGCTTTTTTTTCTTTGTCTCGCGCTCTCTCTTGCATGGTTAAAACAAAATTTATATTTCCTGTACATTTTTGAAGAGCTAGCTGCCAAAAGTGCATGTCTGAAATAGTCTGCCTGACTTTGCACCAGATGATAGATAACCTGTGCAAAAGGAAAATGAGCAATTCATCTTGCCTTCAAAATTCCCAGATTTAGTCCAGTTTCAATTTTTAATTAACCTTGGCGGTGGCAAAATCCAAAGCTTGGAGGGAAGAGGTGAAGGCCAGCTTTTCTGACCTGGTGGGACCATTTAATGGGAGTGTATTGTATCGTGACTGGCCCAGTGCTATCATTCTGTATTGAGTTTATAACGTGTTCAATAAAAGTGTCTCTAGGATATCTCTCAACAGAAATCTTGGCCTAGTTCTATCATTGGAGGGAGTAACATCTGGAAGCCTGTCGAAATGAGAGTCTTTTGAATTATGAAAACCTGCACAGTTGTCATGGGTGTGATTTTGGAACAGACTGGGGAGTTTTTTTTAAAAAAAACATACAACCATTTATCCTTCTCACTGTTCCTTCTTCCAATGAATGTCCTTGGAATTCCCCTTTATCCTATGCAATTACCTATGTAAGCTCTTTATTTGTACGGTTTATTAAACTTTGGAATAAAACTATATCTGGAGTGGGAGTTCTTTTGAATTTTTGTTCAATCACTGTAACATTCCTTTACATAGATCTTCTCTACTAAAATGGTTCCTAATCTCCAATTCACCCATCATTTGCACCAAATTCATCAGCGTCAGCCTGGCTCAGTCGGTAGCACTCACCTATTTGAATTAAAAGATTGTGGGTTCAAGCCCCATGTCAGGGCTGCACTGTTGGAGGTGCCGTCCTTCAGATGAGATGTTAAATTGAGGTCCTGTCAGCGTGTTCTAGTGGATGTTAAACAGCCCATGGCACTTATTGTTAAAAGAGAAAGCAGTTTCCACTGATGTTTTGGCCAACAATCCCCCAGTTAAAATTGGTTATTCACTTCATCTCTGTTTGTGGGACATTGTGTGCAAATTAGGTGCTGCGTTTGCCAACAAAATAGTCTCTACAATTTACAGTCTCTTCTGAAGCACTTTGAGGCATCCTCCCAATGTGAAAAGCAGTATATCAAATGCAAGTATTATTGATTTCGCCAAAGTGCAGTTGGCAGCAATAACGCAGCCCTTTTTTGTAAGGGGCGGAGGGGAGAAAGCTGGAGTGTAGACTGACACCGCAGAAGGGAGAGAGAACGCAAGTTCAAGGTGGTTAAATGCATGTGTTAAGACTGACACGAGGAAGTATCTACACAGAGTAATCAACATCTGGTCTGGGTTAATGGGCTGAGATTAGGATACAGCTCCCATATAGGAAATTGCTGGACGTAATGGAAAGTTGGGTTTAA